AAAGAAATGTAAAGTAATAACAGGCAAATAAAACGGTTTAGATTCTACACCTTGTTCTATGATGAACCAACATTTCTCCACATTACAGGCCTCTCATTTATGGCAACGGGGGGGGGGGTGTTTATTACATGTTGCTAAGACAATGACTGGGGGTTGGTGTACATAATGCAGCGTAGCTGGGGTTGGTCCTGCTCTGAGCAGGGAGTTGGACTAGATGACTTTCTGAGGTCCCTTCCAACCCTAATTTTCTGTGATCTTTCACCAAAATAACAACATCATTTTTACTTTGCAGCCATTCTTAATACCTTTCAGGCCCCTCTGTGGATGCTTACATAATCTTGTGCCCAAAGTTTGAATTAAATTCGATACAGGTTTTTGTGCAAGTCTATGTGTAGAAAAGCAGGATCTCAGTTTTCCTGGTAGTATTTTCATAATATGTTTCAAGTGAATATTTTAATCTAATTGGTAATGCAAATAATATGTTTCTAGTGAATATTTGAATCAAACTAGTAAGGCAAATGATTATATGCTACATTCAAAATGTTAGCTTGTATTATAGAAAAAAATCTTCGTATTGGCAGTTTCTATCAAATATTTGATTTAAGGATGCAAACATTTCAAGCCCCAAAGTTTGTGTTATTGTTTGAAGTAGTGTATCTAAAATATTTTTGGTACAAATAATATTTAATTTAAATGAGAATGTCTATATTTTTATGAGACAAATGAAAATTAAAGCAGAGATAGTCTAGTTTTTACTAGCCTGACAGGTCAAAATGAGAAGCCTCCCTGGATTTGTCAGTAGTGGAATCAAGTCCTAAGGGACCACTTCTTGCTTATGTTCCATCACAACCTTGCAGGTCAGCCAAGGGCAACCTTCTACAAGTACCATCTGTGCACCAAGTTTGTTTGATGAAAAGATGTAGGAAACCATTCATGGTCATTAAAATTCAGCTCTTGAACTTCTTCCACCTTGCAGTTCATCTGAGCCTGAGTCTGGACAACTTCTGGAAGTGTTTTAGCATGTTTTAATGGGTAGGATTTTAGCAGGAGGGGTTAAGTTTTGAGGCACTGTTTGTGCTTATTATTATACACAATAATATGTATGTAGTTTTAATATTTGATGCTTTTTATATTTTTTTTGTAAACCTCCCTGAGCCCTTCTGGGAAGGGCAGCATATAAATCGAATAAGTAAGTCCTATCATTGACAACCAATACAGGCAAAAGTGGCATAGTGTCAATGAAAGCAGGTTTTAAAGTGCTGTTTAAGAAACACACTTCTTGGCACTCGAAGTTACTAGTGCATGCATTAATTTAATCATTTAACACAAGGGCGCTCAACCCCCTCCTGCATAAGGGCCAAATCCAGCACTCAGCACGTTGTAAATGTGGCCTTGCATGCTAGATCTGGTGCACAGGGCAGTGGGGAGCCAATCCCAATGCATAGTGCCCAGCAAAGATGGCACAAAGTCCCGGGACCATGATCCTGGCGCACAGGGCTGGGCAGCGGTGGCAGGGGGCCCCAGGGCCCAATCCCAGCACATGGGTCCTGGTAGAGGTGGCATAGGGCTCTGTGGCCCTGATCCCAGCGCACAGAGCCTGGCAGAGGCAGCACAGGATTCTGGGGCCCATGTCCTGGCACACCAGGTCCCAGGGCCCCAATCCCAGCATGGGCAGAAGCAATGAGCTGGGCAGTAGTGCAAGGTACTGGGGCCTTGATCCCAACGTGCAGAGGCTGGTGATGGTCCCAGGGCCTTGATCTGAGTACATGGAGCCAAGCATGGGTAGCACAGGGTCCCAGGACCCTGATCCTGGCACATGGCGCTGAGCAAGAGCGGTATGGTCCAGATCCAGGCATGCAGGGAAGGTTGCAAGTTGCCCAGACACAGATATAAGCTCCCTTAAAGCAGCCCCCTGCCTGTACAAAATATTGCTGACCCCGGTCTAACGTCATTAACTGAAAACGTTATCTGTAAGATGAAAGGACTGTCTTGTACCTAAGGCATAAGAAAGAAAACTGGGTTCTAGGCTGAAGCGTACCATAGACTTGATCACTTAAGTGCTTTGGCCTGTTACTCATTCCATAAAATAAAAATAATACCTACATAAAAGTCTCAAAGTAGCACAGTGAGACAATGCAATGGGCAAATTACATGAGATACTGCTGTGCAGTCATTACTGCACATTTATTTAGTACTTGTATTAGCAAGTACTAAATAAAAGTGCAGTAACCAGAGCTACTGCACAGTAGTGCCCACGAATGTCTTTTAGGTGATGCTACTACATAATAGCCTAATAGTACAGAGCAGTAGTGTATTAGCACTGTCTGTGCTGTGATGTGCTACTGTGCAGTAGTTTTCAGCCACTGCGCAGTCAACATTTTAAGTAGATATGCCCAGTATGTATTTGTGAGTAATATTTAGGTACTTTAGTAGTTGATGATTAAGGGCTTTTGTATTCCTGTTTCCTTGAGCCTTAGTTGAGTGAAATACATTTTAAAGTAGGGACCAACCTGTTAGTTATATAATCCAGGAGGTAGAAAGGAAGAGGTTTCAGAGGTTGCAATTACACTCATTTCCCTTCTACTGCTGGTGAAAGTATCTGTTACCAATACAAACTGCTTGATTTTTTCAAGTTCTCATTTGTTTCTCTCTCCTAAAGTGTCCAACCACTTTATAGTTTTATAGTAGGTAGGGTCGGAAGGGACCTGAGCAGATCATCAAGTCCGACTCCCTGCCATGGGCAGGAAAGAATGCTGGGGTTAAATGACCCTGGCTAGGTGATTATCCAGCCTCCTTTTAAAGATCCCCAGGGTAGGAGCAAGCACCACTTCCCTTGGAAGCTGGTTCCAGATCCTAGCCACCCTGATTGTGAAGTAGTGCCTCCCGATATCTAGCCTGAATCTACTCACCATCAACCTATGGCCGTTATTCCTTGTTACTCCCAGTAGTGCTCAGGGGAACAGGGACTCTCCCATTGTCTGCTGGTCTCCTTTGGCCAGTTTATAGAGGGCCACCAGATCCCCTCTCAGCCTTCTCTTGTGGAGGCTGAACAGGTTCAGGTTTCATAGCCTCTCCTCATAGGGCCTGCTCCCTGATCATGCGAGTGGCCCTCCTCTGGACACTCTTGATGTTGTCCACATCCCTCCTGAAGTGAGGCACCCAGAGCTGGACGCACTACTCCAACTGTGGCCTGACCAATGTCATACAGAGGGGGAGGATCACCTCCTTGGACCTGCTCGTGATGCATCTATGGATGCATGACAAGGTGCAGTTAGCCTTCCTGACTGCGTCCCCACATTGGCGGCCCATGTTCATCTTGGAGTCTATAATGACTTCAAGATCCTTTTCTGCCTCTGTGCTGACGAGAAGGGTGATCCCCAGCCTGTAGGTATGCTGCTGGTTCTTTCTCCCTAGGTGCAGTACCTTGCACTTGTCAGTATTGAATCCCATCTTATTCTCATCCTCCCACCCCTGTAACCTGTCCAGATCCAATTGCAGCCTGTCCCTCCCTTCTAGCGTGCCCACTTCTCCCCATATCCTAGTGTCACCTGTGAATTTGAACAAGGTGCTTTTCATCCCCTCGTCCAAGTCGCTGATGAAGATGTTGAACAGTGCGGGCCCGAGGACCAAGCCCTGGGGGACCACACTGCCCACATCTCTCCAGGTTGAATAAGACCCGTCCACCACCACCCTCTGGGTGAGGCCCTCCAGTCAATTGGTGACCCACCTGACTGTGTAGGCACTGACACAACAATCTCCTAATTTTTTAACGAGAATGGGGTGAGACAGTGTCGAAGACCTTCCTAAAGTCCAGAAATACTACGTCCACTGCGACACCTGCGTCCAAGGATCTTGTGACCTGGTCATAGAAAGCCACCAGGTTGGTCTGACAGGACATGCCTCTAATGAACTCATGTTGGTTGCCCCTAAGCATACACTCCCCTGCTTGTCCCTCGCAGACGTGCACCTGGATAATTTTCTCAAAGAGCTTCCCCAGGACCAAGGTAAGACTAACAGGCCTATAATTTCCTGGGTCCTCCTTCCTCCCTTTTTTGAAAATGGGGACCATATTGGCCCTTTTCCAGTCCCCTGGCACCTCACCAGAGCACCACGAGTGCTCGTAAGGCTGTGCCAGGGGTCCCGCAATGACCTCTACTAATTCCCTCAGCACTCTGGGGTGGAGATCATCAGGACCTGCTGATTTGAATATGTCCAGTCCCACCAGAAGTTCCCTGACTAGGTCCTCTGTGACCCTGGGCCTGGCTGTGCCTCCCCTGGGACTATCGGGGATTCGAGTGGGGGGGATGACCTGGTCCCTGCTTCAAAATACTTGACTCAGTGAACAGGCTCATAACTGTAGTAAGGAGTCTGCCAGTTCATGGACAGTAAAGTCATTTTAATATGTAAAGAAACACTAATGATACTACACTTGATCTGAGCCTTCAAGAGGCTGAGAAGCGATCTAAGAGGCCAAGAAGTGAAACTAAGACCAAAGAAAAGACCAAACTGTAGCTGTATCATCCTCAAGATTCTCTATATAATATCTTAACCCAAAGGTGACTTTTATCATAAAACTATCAGTTAACAGTCTTTTCCCTATAATCTGGTTCCATTTTGTTTGTCTGTCCATGCTCTTTTACGTTAGGGCTAAATCCTGCTATGTGCTGGTTACCTACATCTCTCAGATTCTGATTAATTTTTCCTCAATAAAAATGTCAAGGTAGTAACATAGCCTAATGATTTTATAATTGAATCCATACTCACTTCAATAATTAATATTGACTTAAATGAAATTATGCACATACATATTTGGAGGACTGGGTCCTCAGATCAGAAGCTACTTGGAAAAGGGATCAGCATAGTAAGGGCAATGGAACCTACATCACCCCAGCATATAGTTCTCCCCACGATTTTGTTAACCTCTAAAAATATTAGATTTTATTTGATTTTGCCAGTACCTAATGAACAAATATTAACAAAATACTGAAACAAGAACTTTGACACAAGAGGTGTTAAAATTTTAAAAACATTTTCTCACTGACTTTACAACTGTTGCAGTAACATTTTAAGAGGTTGCTTTTTTCAAGTATGCAATAAGATCTGCTCTCTCTCTGCTCTTTTTAATGCCAGCAAAAATCATTTTTGTTCCAGGAATATATTTCTTAGGGTTCTCCAAATACTCCATCAATGTATTTTCATTCCAGATGATACCTGAAACATAATTAAGAATTATGTACTACTCTCTTAACAGCTGATTCAACATATAGCTAAGTATATCAAACATATTGAGTCTCAAGATCTAGGGTATAGGCAGGCAAGGTTCTTTGGGTCTCAGTCTCCCTCTGCCTGAAGAAGGGTGCTTGTTCCTGAAAGCTTGCAAAGAACAATTTTTCCAATGATTCAGTTGTTCTAATAAAATATATCACGTTTACCCAAAGAAACTTGTCTGCCTATATCCTTAGACCAACAGAGCTACAACCTACACACACAAAACGTGTCAAGATCTAGAGTATGCATTTTTGAAAATAATCTACTTAGACTGTCAGGGGAGTATGCAAATGAATGATATATGACATCCAATTTTCAGTAGTGCCTGAATACATTTCATATTTCATACACAACTGTTAAATTTACTTTGATTAATTTTAGTAAGCCAGAATTAAAAAGTGCAATCACTTGAGCATTTTGGAGAGCTGAATGTATTAAAGTCAGTTCACATTTTGAATATTTTCTACTTTAAAGTAATAAATATAGTTTCAGTATCTGGAAAAAGAGACCATACATTCCGGCAACACAGACTTCTACCTAGGAGTAGATTTCAAATTGAATCCAAAGATTTTCTATTTATTATCAAATTAATTCTCAAACACTTAATTTCAATTCCTTCCAGCCCTGCCAGGTCCTGTGATCCTATCAATAAAAGCTTCACACTAACAGGACTGAAGACCATTAACAGATCAAGCAGCAACAGCATCACTCATTTCATTCATTTTCAGCGTATAATTAGTTACCATGATTTCTAAGATGAATCCGTGTTTAAAGTCCACTTAGATACCACACAGCCAGTTTATTTTTAGATACATGTGGTATCACTTGTATTATTAGTTCACAGAATTACATTTTCTGAGTAGAAACTGCCAGTAACTGCCAAATATATATTTGTTTGTATGAAGGAATACTCTTCTCCTACCAATGAAGTCCCAGTATAAGACTGAATATCCTAAGAAGTCTTTCAGTAAGTAAAACCAAAGATTAAAGTAGTTTTGGAATTTATTTGAATAACTGAAACAAAACATTTGTGGCCAATATCTTTATTCCCAATATGAACACCCTTCTATTTAATTACATAAAAATACCTGTTCGGCTTTCAGATAATTCAGAATTATCTGAATTAAAATACATGAATACACTGTCATATAATACAGGCAACCTTCGCCATTCGCAGGGGATACGTTCTTGATATCCCTGTGAATAGCGAAATCCGCAAATACAACACTGTGTTTAGGAACGTCATGAATGCAGTGCCCCTGGTGGCTCGGAGTGGGGTGGGGAGGCAGGGTACGGCTGCGCTGGCGACGGTGGGAGCCCAGTGGAGGCAGCGGAAGCATGGCGGCGGCAAGCACGGAGCTCCCGAGGAGCTCCTATAAGTGTATTTAAGATGAAGGTTTGGCATTTGCGAATATTTGAAACTGCGAATGCCAAACCTGTGAATAGCAAGGGTTTCCTGTATTAGACAATTGAAGTTAATAAATGCCAGTAAGCATAATGAATGCAGAGCACAGGAATACCAGTAGAGGGTGATGACCAGCTGTAACAAAATCATACTAAGAGCTATCACTCCAAGAAACTGACATTAACATCTTCAAAATTCTGGAAAGGATGAGAGATTCCAATCTCAAAAAATTGTTATATGCTGTAGGTTACTAAAACCTCATCTTAAATTAGTGGCTGGACAACAGCATTCTGTTTTCAACAACGTGGTTCAGGTTCATCTTATAAGTCTGTTATTCAATAGCTGTGACAGTGATTTTTTTTTAATATGGTTTCAAGTTTACCTAAGAGATTTCCTTCTTTATACCTCCCCCCTGGTTCTTCACCCCACTCATGTCACCCTTTATTTTTTACCTTTGTTCTTATTTGACTCTGAATAAGAGAATCCTGCAGCTTGTCCTGTTTTGCGACCAAATAAACTCCAAAGATTTGGGCCAGTCTTGTGCACTCCACCTTTTTCAACTGTGTGGCACTGAGAGCATTTCTGTACAAAGATTTTCTTGCCCTTTTCAACATCACCCATATCGATCTATTATAAAGCAAAATGCAAACAAGAAACTAAAAAATGTTTCTGAAAACATAATGCTCGTTTATCAGGTATACCATCTACACATATATAATTTCCATCTTGCAAGCGAAGTTAAGAAGAAAAGACAGTTTCTGAAGCTAGCTAATGGAATTGTTGAGTTGAACTTAATCTGAATAGGAGAATTTGTGGGACACTCTAGTAAACTTCAGAGTCCTTTGTATCATTTAGCAATTTATGATTATGAATAAAGTTTTAGAGACAACCTAATACTGAAATAAGCTAAAATGTGAGATGCAAGATACTGTGTTGTATCTTTAAAAGTTAAAAGACAGTTAAGAGTACTTCAAGCCACCACTTCTAGGTTGCTCTGTGGCTTGAGGCAACTCTGGGGAACCTATTAAATAACATTAGCCTCCTATAATTGCACAGACAAAGTGCTCCACAGAATGTCTGCAGTACTGTGGCTTTGTTCCATTCACCCCCTACACCAGGACTTTGAAGGACATGTTCAAAAGCCCTCCAGATACCTCTATTGTACTTTTATCATAAAAATCCTGGCAGAACCTGAATCTTTAGGATCCGTTTATCCCAGTAGTTCCTAGCCTTTTTGGCTAGGAAGTCCACAAGGCACTCCTCAGTGGACTCGAGGGACCCCTCCATAAATTTTGTGAATTGAGTGGTGCACAGTTTCAAAACTAATTTATATATTACAGTGCTTACCTCCTACCAGAGAGGTTGGACAGTGGGAGTGAGGGGTTAGTAGGCAACGACAAGCTTGAGTCTATCCTTATCTGCTTATCTCTTCATACCTCCCCTTGTGGCACCCTTCAAAGGATCTGGCAGCACCAGCAGGTCCTGCCCAATCTGATCTGATCCCCAATCCCAATGATCACGCCTCCCGCCATGCCATCTGTGATTGTGGGATTGGAAATCATATCCAATGAAACCCTACTGCCAGTAAAGGGAGTCTGGGATCATGACCCTGGGCTCCTTCTGCACTGGTAAGTAGCATGCCTGTCCCTGTGGTTGAGAGTGCCAATCAGCTGACTGTTGCTTCTGTGGTTGGGAGCTCTGATTAGCTAACTGGGACTCCTGCAACTGGGAGCACTGATCAGTTGATCTGCTCTCTCAGCCCCAGCCACATGTTCAGTTTAAGGTGTGATGGAAATCAGCCTCAAAATTATTACGCATATTTTTGGTAATAAGTTTGTGGCTTATTCCCTGTTTTACCATGCCATTAATTGCATGAACATGTGGCCCTGTTACCACTTAAGATGAAATTAACTGGTTAATCATGTCTTAAGTGTAATGTCTGCAAGGGTCCTGTTTCCTTACCCTTCACACACTGTATAAATGCACTTTTAACACTCAATTAATGCAGTGTCTACTGTTTAATGCAGTAATTCTCAACCAAGCATGGAGAGCCTTGAGATCCTTCCAAGGATGCCATAGGGTGCGACACAATGTTAGCACTCTTAGGGCATAAGATAAAGCCAATGATTTCATACAAGATTCCAAAATTGTTTTAACTTGCTGTGAGCTTTCTGAGGTCTTTGCAATAGAAAAATTGCTCTATTATTTTTCTATAGATAAAAAATTAGTGAAAACTAAGAGTTGGCATTTTCCAAGGGCTGCCTTGAGTTTAATGAGGACTGTCTTCAGCCTAAAAAGTTGAGAACTTGTTTAATATATATTACCTCCAGTCCTTCATATAAAAGGAATAGACACCAACAATGGATTTCCCCTTAAACTGTAAAGTCCTGATATCAAGATGGTCATGACAAGTACTTTTCTAGGGAGGGAAGCATGGAAAGTTGCAACCCCCTTTAGATTTAAATTTCCCTCTATGTGAATTATTTTCCTCTTTATTTAAACTTAAAAAAACCACAATAAACAGCATGTTTCTAATTAAAGACTAAGAATTGTAAGAAAAAATACTGTCCTTATACCCAGAAAGGATGTTAAAAATGAACACACATTACATTTTATATTCATGAAGAATTTTTGCTTAAAAAAAAGTGAAACATAATAGCATGCAGACATATACAATAAATCATATCCAAGTAAGTATCCAACAGTATGATGTGAAACAAGAAACATAAGAAGTAAAACAAGACTGGCCTTAAAATTTGATTGCAAAAGGATGCAATGTTCACCTGAATCAACCCTTTTGCATTTACACATCGATATAAAATATGTTTCTAATTATTGTCATACATTTTCAGTACAGTGCCAAGATTTTCAAGCCTGACTGCCTACACTTAGGCTCCCAAATACAAATTTAAACAAATGAAAGGGCTCAGAATTCCACAAGAATTCCACATCAACATTAGGCTAAATATAAAGATGCCTAGACTAAGAATTGGGAGCCTAATTTTAGGCACCTAGGTTTAAAAATGTTGGCAAAAGTCACTGAACTCTGGAGAATGACTAAGAGTTGGCCAGGCTCCAGTTCTGGGCAGAGCGTACTGCCCATGTGTGCCACCCTTTTTTTTTTTTACATGGGTTTTTTTGAACACAGGACCTTCCAGACTCAACCCCCACCCCCATGCTACTACCTTACAGCATGGAGAACACCTGCACGTGCCATGCATGCTACCGCAAGCAGGTCTGCAGCACCACGTACCACCTGGCCGCCCGCGCTCATCTGGACGTGGCTTAAGAATCCAGTTGTAATTGTATCCATCTAAAGCCAGAAACTGAGCATAGACAACTTTAACCCCCCCC